CTCCTATTTGTGCATTATGCGTTCCTCTTTAAAAAATCGCATGCGAGCGAATTTCACCTTATACGCTACACAACAAAATTTTAAAGAATTTTGGAGCTTGAAGAAGGGGCGGCACCCCAAAGAAGTTAACGTTTTAATTTTTTCGCAAGCACGGGCGAGGCTTGGCCGCTGCAGGTGTTGATTGCACCTTCGTAGCTCGTCGCGTTGGCACTACTACTTTACTACCCCGCTGTACATCCCCCCCCTTCCTACGGAAAGGGGAACCTTGTTTGCTCTGCACAAACATCGCCATCCAGCCTTTCACACGAGTGCTACGCGCAGGGGCATAAAACCGATAGTCGCAGAAGCATAGGAACAGGAGGAAGGGTTCCCTCAGGGATGTCCGTTTCAAGGCGTTAAATCCAAACCGCTTTACTGGAAAAGGGGATGCAAGAATTTTTTTATACGTACACTTTAGCTCTGTCACTACACTAGGTGCCTGGGGCCATTTGCTAATCTGCCTACATGGATTCGAAATAATTCATTTAAAGTCTTCCTGGTTATAACCACTTGCGGCAAAAGGACGAATGGAGACATACCATCAGGGTGAAATGAATATCCAGATGAAGGCATGGATATGACCTGAATCGTGTTATCACAGTTAAACATGGAAATGGAAGCAGCATGTGGCATTGTTCCTGTGCTCTGTTTTTTGCGTCTGTGTGCACCATCCGCATTACCCGCGGAAGTGCACGTATATAGTAGCATATGACTCGATTTACGCAAACGCTTTTTTACACATGCGAGTAGCATGACAGGGGTGCTTCACCGAAACGTTACATGTGCAATTTTAGAATGCCAAATGAGTAACACGCACAAGGGGAATATGTAACGAAAGAAGCGACATAGGACCATTTTTTTTTTTTTTTTTTTGTGCAAAGGATGATATAAATATCCTAATGGAAGGGCCTAACCACAGCGCAGACAAGTCGGAAAGTGGACCCCGCGGTACAAACTCGGCGAACACCACGTTCTCGTTCGAGATGCTGGACATGATCATCACGGGCGGCAGCCATGGCCTATCGAAGTCGCAAGAGAAGGAGACGAACCGTAAGACAGAAAATATAACAGAGAAGGGGCTCTTCGGTGCGTCCGAAGAGCGCGTAGAAATTTCGTGCGAAGCAAAAGGAAAAAAGCGGAAAAGCTCTATCCGTGAGAAAACAGCCAACAGTTATGGGGATGCAGTTGAATTTAAGAAGCAATTTCATAATTTGGGGAAAAAGGAAAAAAAAAAAAAAAAGGTCTATAATATGAACTCCGAGGTAGCAGTAGGCAGCGGTTCGGAATTTCCCCTTGTGGGTGAGTTTCTGCCTGTAGAGGATACACCTGTTTTAGCTTCATGTAAAGGGGATACGCCACTTCCTAGCGCTTTGATGGACTGCCTAAGTGGTAGTAATAGCAGCGGAGTGGAACACTGCCGCATGAGTATAGAAAGTAACGGACACAATGGTACGAATGGTCAGAATGGAAATCACATGAACAAAGAGGATGTGGAATCGCAATTGGCCAAAATGGAACAAACGGATGAGGAAGTCCTCCTCTCAGGCAACATCGATTGTACCAACTGTAAGTACTACTTAAAAGAATTAACGAGCAGGAACTACATGGACTTCTCCTACATGGATCAGTACATCAGTGAGGGGGAGAGGAACCTACTTTTATTAAAAAATAAGAAAATTGAGGAATTAGAAAATGAAAACAAATTAATGAAACACAGTATGAAAAACTTAAAAGAGGAAAACCGTTGTCTGGAGAGTAAATTAGACAAAGTCGCCGACAGCTTAAGTGATTTGAGGAGTCACATGGACAAGTTAATGGAAGAAAATAAATCACTGAAAGAGGTGAATAAACGTCTGCGTGTGAATCTGCAGAAGGGACAGTCGTGTAGGAAAGAAGTGGAAGAAACGAACAGGGAATGCGCGGACAAAGAAGATGCATCTTCTTCAGCGCGTGGAAGACAGGATCCCCGCGGAAGGGATTTTGAGAACTCAATCGATAATGAATTATTTAACGAGCTTTACTGAGCACAAAGATGGGAGGGCAAGGTTTTACACTGCATGGAGCGGGGCCCGCGTGCTTATATATAACTGCGGTGCACTTGAATTAATTCATCATATTCGTTGCTCGTACTGTGCATACACAATTGTTACGACACGGGGGAGATCACCACAGCAGTTGTTTTGTGTCGCAAATGTGGTACTCTACCCCCCCTTGGTATACCTGTTTTTCATCATAATGCAGGTTTAGAATGATTTTTTTTTTTTGTTTAATTAATTTTTGTTTTTTCCTTTTTTTTTTCTCACAAGAAACAATTACACATAGCTTCTTAACGTTCATATGAATCTGCAATTTTGGTTCTTTTTACAAAGAAAAAAGATAAATTATTTCTTTATTCATATGAATACAAAGGACTGTGCACATGTATCTGCATTTTGACGTACGTCTTCTCTAGTTATTTCTTTTGCCTACCGGCAGGGTTATAAAATAATATACACCCATCTGTTTTTGCGAACGCACAGCGTAATGACCAAAGCCTTAAAAGCCTGAAACCCCTGAACCCGAAAAAATTCCACCGTTCTAATATACAAATGATCTAACCTTCTTTTATATCTGCGCTTTTTTCTATCATAATATTCAAATTAAAACAATAAAGTGTTAGTGCATATATAGAACTTTATTTTTTTAGAATATGGGACTCGTATTTATTCGACCGCTAAGAATTGCAACATCATAAATGAGTGCCTAATATATGTTAACAAGGGTACCAAGGACTTTAACTAATTTTAAATTATAAAATATATACTTAGAATCAAGTTTTCTAAGTATTCTGCATTCTCACATTTTGTATATGTACTTTGATGCATATTAATTTATCAATTAAATTATATAATATAAAAACTTGAAACAGAAAAAATGTAAATACTTATGCGCAAAGGATTTAAATTTAGCTTGTTTTATTATTTAAAAAAAAAGAAGAACAATCCTATAATCCGTAAGTACATATATATATGAAAAAAAAAAATGCAAGAACAATAATATGGTGCATACATGTATAAAAAAAAAAAAAGAAAGAACAATAATATGGTGCATACATGTATAAAAAAAAAAAAAGAAAGAACA